TTCTAGCTTCCTAGGTATGCCTAACTAGAACTCATGAACCATTGTGATAGGTACATAATTTCATGTCAACTTGAAGATATATAAAAGTGCAGGGGTGGAGTTTAACCTGTCAATCATGTCAGCCTGATGGTGATTCCTTGGGGTCCCATGGGGTCACTATGAGATGCCATCAACTCCACAGCAGTGAGGTTGGTTTTTTTGTGTGTTTTTGTTTTTTAACAAAATAATCATGGTGTCATAAACCATACATACATGAGTGAATTTTGAGTTCAAACTTAATCATAGCCCCAATCTAAGAAGTGATCACTGAAGAATGGGTGCTATACCAAAGTGTGGTGCAGAAAGAGATGGTGCCAGGGTTCTGGGGTCTTAAAGTCTTGTCTTAAGACAACCAGCCATCTAAATGAGGCCATGTCAGAACGTGCGCTTGGCCATCGACGCCAGGGAGGTCGCATGCGCAGGACCAGGCTGCCCCAGTCAGTTCCCTGCGGCCCTGGGGACGCGGCACCTTGGGTTCCAGGCTGGGGAGAGTGTCCTGGCCGCCCTCTCTGGGGGCCCAGTGCAGCGTTGGCAGCCGAGGACAAGACGAAGAATGAAATTGCTGCAGTTGTCTTCTTCACAAGGCTAGAAGGCTAGTTCGAAAACATGCCAAGTTGAAAAAAGAGGCAGTTGAGAGATTTGCTGAGAAATTGACTCTAATACTTCAAGAAAAGGAGAAGAATCATAGATATCCTGAAAAACCATCAAAAGGACAGGCCGACAGATGCATTCGAGTCCCTGAATTTCAGAGGGTTGACCCCAATATCCTGAAAGCCTGTGAGAACACCTGCATCTTGTGCAGGGACCTAGGCCTGCCGGAGAAGCACACTCTCAGGGTGGACCCAGGTGAGGTGTGCTGTCGATGTGGGGAGAAAGCAATGCCTTCATTGCTGCCAGCTTTGAACATGAGGGTGAGAACAAGGATGAAATCTCCCAGGAAGTTACAGGGCTCCTGATAAGGGCCCCTCTGATGACCATTCAGGATCGTTTTCTTCAGGTGAAGATACCAGCAAGGAAGCAAAACCCAGTGCAGAGACAACAGCCCCTAGCCCTGCGGACCCAATTTCAGAGCTGATGTTCCCACCTCTTCCAATGTGGTGTCCTTTGCCCAGGAAAAAACCAGGAATGGACCCAGGGAATAGCCATCAAAGTCACTATCCACCTCCTGTTCCATTTGGTTTTCCAAATCAGGGAAGGAAGAATAAGCCTGACTGCCCAATTCCAGTGAGATGGATAGCTCTTCCTGGGGGCACTGTAACCGAAATCACTGGATTAATTCTCACATGTTAGCACCTCTTTAGCTTTTTAAAAATTATTATTCTGTGTCATGTTGAAAGACAGGCAAGTTAACCTTGACTGTGCTAAAAGTTCAAAGTCTGTATTCATTGTAGTAAAGTTAGATGGACTAAACCATCACACTTATCTTTATAGAGAAGTTATTGAGAATAATATTTTCTTAAATACATACATGCACTTTAGATATATTGATATAGTTTGAGAAACTTTATTAAAGTTACTCAAGTGCCTGATGTTTTAATATCAGACTTGCGTATTTATATATTGTACATCAACTTTGTTGAATATGAGAACACTATAGGAGTGGACGATCTCTTTTAGCACCTTTGAACATGTAAGCTATTTATGCACAAGGATATCTATTTTGTGTCATTGTTTAGAGGACTTAAATAAAATCATGTAGTTGCAAATAAAAAATCGTTTGAGGCATGACAATGTGTTT